CATTACAGCATGAACTTGCCCTTCAACTTCCAGTTTGCATTATGGCGCTGACTGTACTCCAACTTTTTACCCTGTTTCTAACCAGGTAGTGCCATGATTGGCACCTATCAGTGTTTTGCCCTTGTCTGTGCCTGTGGCCTAGGCTGCCATGTGGTTTTCTTCTTGTAACAAGTCTTTGATGCTTTTTTGTTTTTTTAATGGTACAGATGAGGCCTCTGCCCAGTTCATCCAGTCCCTAACTTTGTCCCACTTCTCTGCTCAGTATGATGTCCCTTATGTTGCTGATGCCACCCTGTGTGCGTGTCTTCTGGGCACTGTGTCCCCTGCTGAGGCATGGGATAACTTCCCAGATTTTTCAAAAGTGCAGGATACAAACATGGCTAGACAGCATAGCAGGTGTGGACACACCATGTTTCTTGTAACCAGTTCTGATTAGTGTCTAAGCGATTACAAAACCACAGTTGTTCTTGTAGAACTGTCAAATCCTAAGACATAAAACTTTCAAGATATGCTGGCCACATCAATAGGGTTACCATACGTCCGGTTTTTCCCGGACATGTCCGGCTTTTTGGTAATCAAGCCCCCGTCCGGGGGGAATTGCCAAAAAGCCGAACATGTCCGGGAAAATACCGGCCGGGCACTTCCCCTCCCGCGGCTGCTCTGCTCCTCCCTTGACTCTTCGGCTCTTTTTAAGAGCCGAGCTGCCCGAGCGCTCCGGCTTCGGGCAGCCCCCTTGCCTCCGGACCCCAGCCGCCGGCCGGGCACTTCCCGTCCCAGGCTCCAGCTGCTCTGCTCCGGCGGCGCAGGGTCCGGAGGCATGGGGGCTGCCCGAAGCCGGTAGCGCTCGGGCAGCTTGGCTCTTAAACAGAGCCGAAGAGTCAGGTGAGGAGCAGAGCAGCTGGAGCCCGGGAGGGGACCTGCCCGTCTGGGGGCACAGGGTCCGGAGGCATGGGGGCTGCCCGAAGCCCGAGCGCTACCGGCTTCACGGTTTGCCGGGCAGCCTCCAGACCCTGCGCCCCCGGCTGGGCACTTCCCCTCCCGGGCTCCAGCTGTGCTGGGGAAGCGCCGGCCAGGGGCGCAGGGTCTGGGGGCTGCCCACCAAACCATGAAGCCGGTAGCGCTTGGGCAGCCCTTTTCGCGTGGCTGGGAGGGAGGAGGGGGAGTTAGGGCGGGGACTTTGGGGAAGGGGCAGGGGAATGGGCGGAGTTGGGTGGGGAAGGGGTGGAGTTGGGGCGGGGCCGGGGGTGGGAAAGGGGCGGGGCCAGGGCCCTGTGGAGTGTCCTCTTTTTTTTATTTTTTAAATATGGTAACCCTACACATCAATGTAGACCCAAAATGTAGGGGTTGTTTGTAAATGTTTCCATGGTGTATTTTTGTTTTTAATTTCTCTGGAAAAGATTATCATTTTCCCCCACAGTCTTTTTTTACCCAAACACCAGAATATCATCTAAATTAAGAAAACCAGAAAGTAAAATCATATAGATACCCGCTATAAACAAAGGCTAAAACTGGCTACATGAATAGTAACAAAGTACATCGAACTACTACAATTATTTCAATTTTGTTTTCTAAGTTAGTGTTTAACATAGGTAAGATCGTTCTATTTTAAATATGAATCTCCTCTGGACATTCTCCCTTTTTAGTCAAGCTAAAGGAAACAATATTAGATTTGTAGTAGTAAATGAACCCAATCCTGCAAAATGTGGTGTATTAAACACACTGTTCCACCCAAGGGTCACGTGCAAATGTTAAAACCACCATTTCCAAACAGCTCAGTGTCAATGCTGACTTTTGGGAAGAACTCTGCCTTTGGCCTGTTTTCAGAGTTAATAATGAATGTGAGTTTGTAAACTCTCTTATGAGACGTGTACTAGGAGTGACCCTTGGCAGTAGAACATGCTGATGTGATCTGAAGTTCAGCACCTGCCTTTCTATACATTGGCACCTGCGCAAGTCAGAACACAGGGAGAACCAAACTGGTGCAAAAACTTTTTGTAACTGATTCTGCATTTGTTGACTTTACTGTTACAGCAATCGTATATTAAATATTGTCATGTAAGAAGTTGTTATAGCTATTTACAATACAATATTATATACTCAAACTGGAATCAAACTCTTTTTCTCTGTAGGTGGAGTTAATTTATTTTTTGCTTAGACATTAAAATCTTTTACACTCTGCATCATTTGTATTATTAATAGCTTGTAGAACTTTCTACTACATCACATTACTCCCCTGGAAATAGAACAACACACAGAAAAGTATGAAAAATGTATTTTTTAACAGTAAAAAGTAATTTTCCAACATAATACCCAAAATAAAATACCATGAAGCTATTAGCAGTAAATTGAATTTTTTGGTATGTAATTTAGTATAAATACTGACAAGGTGTGTGTGTGTGTGTGTGTGTTTTAATGAGCTCATTAGTCATTCAGTTTAGCAATGCAGAGGCAGCAATCGGCAAAGGCGTGCATTTTTATGTCTGCTTCAATTGCACACTTCATTTATTTGGACATCGCATAGGCGGCTTTCTCTGTCACACAGCATCACTGCACGATTAGCAAGTTTCGCCCCAGGGCAGCTGGGACGCTTTGCTGGGGCAGATGTTCTTTTCAGCTTATTCAGTGGCCGCTCTTGGGTTGTTTACTGTTGTCATGGCTACCTCCATTTCCATAGCAGCCGCGCTGCTGCGTCTGAAGCAAGTGAATATAGTTATAAAAGGATCATATTTTATTCTGTCTCTATAACTTGCCATCTGTCAACTGATGGCTTATGTTGGATTCAGAAACCGATTTACGAATAACGGCAGCCAAGTAACAATTTTTGCTTATATTAAAAGTAACAATAGGTACGAACGCAAATCACTTAGGTACTTTCAATGAAACACTGCTTTTGTTTTTCCTGATTTTAGAGGTTTTTGCTTCCAACACTTTCTCACAATAATAATTTAAATTCTTATTGACATATGAAAATGACCGAATGTCATCTTTGTGTCTGATTCCATGCAAGTATTCTTGACACTCTCCACTATGCTAGTAGCTCATCCCAATACATTGACTACAACTCATGAAATGACTCCTTCTTGCACAGAGCATTAGTACTGAAACCTAAATACTAGGGCTGTCAAGCCATTTAAAAAATTAATTGTGATTAAAAAAATTAATCACGATTAATTGCACTGTTAAACAATAATAGAATACCATTTATTTAAATATTTTTGGATGTTTTCTACATTTTCAAATATATTGATTTCAAGTACAACACAGAATACAAAGTGTAAAGTCCTCACTTTATATTTATTTTTGATTACAAGTACCTGCACTGTAAAAAAACAAAAGAAATAGTATTTTTTTTCAATTCACCTAATACAAGTACTGTAATGCAATCTCTTTATCATGAAAGTTGAGCTTAAAAATGTAGAATTATGTACAGAAAATAACTCATTCAAAAATAAAACAATGTAAAACTTTAGAGCCTGCAAGTCCATTCCGTCTTTCTTCTTGTTCAGCCAAACAAGTTTCTTTACATTTGCAGGAGATAATGCTACCCACTTCTTGTTTACAATGTCACCTGAAAATGAGAACAGGCATTCTCATGACACTGTTTTAGCCGGTGTCGCAAGATATTTACGTGTCAGATGTGCTAAAGATTCATACATCCCTTCATGCTTCAAGCAACGTTCTAGTGGACATATGTTCATGCTGATGACGGGTTCTGCTCGATAACAATCCAAAGCAGTGTGGACCGACGCATGTTTATTTTCATTATCTGAGTCAGATGCTACCAGCAGAAGGTTGATTTTCTTTTTTGGTGGTTCGGGTTCTGTAGTTTCCTCATCGGAGTGTTGCTCTTTTAAGACTTTTGAAAGCATGCTCCACACCTTGTCCCTCTCAGATTTTGGAAGGCACTTCAGATTCTTAAACCTTGGGTGAGTGCTGTAGCTATCTACAAATCTCACATTGGTACCTTCTTTGCATTTTGTCAGATCTGCAGTGAAAGTGTTCTTAAAATGAACAACATGTGCTGGGTCATCATCCGAGACTGCTATAATATGAAATATATGGCAGAATGTGGGTAAAACAGAACAGGGGACATAAAATTCTCCCCGAAGGAGTTCAGTCAAAAATTTAATTAACACATTATTCTTTTAACGAGCATCATAAGCATGGAAGCATGTCCTCTGGCATGGTGGCCGAAGCATGAAGGGGCATACGAATGTTTAGTATATCTGGCACGTAAATATCTTACAGTGCTGGCTACAAAAGTACCATGCGAATGCCTGTTCTCACTTTCTGTTGACATTGTAAATAAGAAGAGGGCAGCATTATCTCCCATAAATGTAAACAAATTTGTTTTTCAGCCAATCGCTAAGACAAAGAAGTAGGACTGAGTGGACTTGTATGCTCTGAAGTTTTACACTGTTTTGTTTTTGAGTGCAGTTATGTAACCAAAAAAATCTACATTTGTAAGTTGCACTTTCACGACACAGAGATTGCACTACAGTACTTGTATGTGGTGAATTGAAAAATACTATTTCTTTTGTTTATCTTTCACAGTGCAAATATTTGTAATCAAGAATAATATGCACTTTTATTTCAATAACAACACAGAATACAATATATATAAAAATGTAGAAAAACATCCAAAATATTTTTTTAATCATGATTAATTTTTTTGAGTTAATCGCGTGAGTTAACTGCGATTCATCGACAGCCCTACTAAATACTCCTCACTGAAATTAAATAGCAAGCTTGAGAGGAATAACAGAACACACCGTGCACGCAAGCATATACAGTACAGTGACAAATATACTTCAGTGTAGTTGACTTAACAGTAGTTTTGGAATCATGTGCAAGTTTGATCACATGTTGGAATTTTCCAAAATAAAATTTTGGATAATTTAATCTTTATTCCTTTTCAATGCAGAGATTCGGTCTAGCAGGGGGGTAAAAACAAGATTAGCCCAGTTGTAAATAATGTATTTATTGGTTGATTTTTCCAGATCCTGACATTGATGCTGCCACTGCCATGATGCTTTTGAATACTCCCCCTGAGATACAAGCAGGTTGTGAGTAGATATTTCTATAGCATATAGCACCATAGACATGTAAAGTTAACATTCTCTTTTTATAAGTATACAGCATACCAGACAAAAAAAGGAGGATCTAATGAAGAAATATAAAGTCCCTTATAGACACTACTTTACACTAAATAATAATTTATTTTTTGTGAAATATAATATCCACTATTACATGAATAACAATTTTATATCTCTGTGTTAGAGATAAGATTGTTACTCATTAAATACATATAATTTAGTGACCTGGGACAAGTGAGATAAGACCTGGGGTAACAACCAGAAGTTGAGAAAGAGAAGAGAGATACATAGTTTTTGTTTTCATTTTGCTTTGATTTGACTCCATCGTGTGTGTGATTGAAGCCACCTGGATGTTTTCTGGTCAGTTGGACACTATTTCAAATCCTTTCTTGCACGCATACTTCACATTTTGTCTATGTAATATGCAGTGCCAGGGCCCTAGGCAGGCTCCAGGGAATGGGGCAAATTTTGGCTTCCTGCCCATAGGTCCCTGTCATTCTCCAGCTGGGCCTACAGATATTGTGATCGTTTTTTATTGTTTGAGGCTAGGAACCCATTGTGTTAGGTGCCTTACAGACATGGGACAAAAAGGTGGTCCCTGCCCCCCAAAGACCTTACAATCTAAGTATAAGACTAAAGACGACAGATAGAGATGGGGGAGTCCAAGGAAACAATGAGACAGTATTGGTCAGCATGACAGGCATTAATACCGAGCAACTCACAGCTTTAAATATAAAGACAGATTTCAGAGTAGCAGCCGTGTTAGTCTGTATCTGCAAAAAGAACGGGAGTACTTGTGGCACCTTAGAGACTAACAAATTTATTTGAGCATAAGCTTTCGTGGGCTACAGCCCACTTCATCAGAATTTACCTACAGCCATTATGAAGCCTGGCTAGCTTCCCTGACATTGGTTTAGCTCATGTGACCAAATCGGACTGTAAGGGAAGCCTTGGTCAGCACTTTCTTGCTCTGTCTGGGGAAGAGAACCAATCACAATCCAAAGCATTCCCTGCACAGCCAAGGAGAGCTTTGGGGGGAGCCATCGTCAGCCTTATTCAAAATCCCATGGGAGAAGGATCTGCTGAGAATCTCCTCCAAGAAACAACTTTCCCCAGAGAAAAAACGATTTGGCCTCACTCCCATCCTGCTTCATTCCATGGGATGAGGCTGAGAATGTCAATGGAAGGAGGAGGGGAGTGTACATGGAGAAAGGGAGAGTTTTTATCAAGGGATGTGGCATTCGGGATTAGTGGAAAGAATGGGCTGAAAGAAGCGGCGGAGGAGGGGAGACTGAGGGGATCAGTTAGAAAAGAGAATTGATGGGATGATGAGAGAGAGAGAGCGAGAGCAGGAGGAAGAGATGAAGAACATTGGGGAGAAGAAGTAGAGAAGATAACACAAGGAAAGAGAAGGAGGAGATAGAGGGGGAGGAGAAAGACACACAGAAAAGAGCAACGCTGAACATGATGTACTAAAATAAAGAATAACGGGAAAGTGAGAGTGGAGTAAAGGATAGGCCAAAGGCAAGGGAATGAGGACATAGTAAGTTACTCTTAAAAATGCATTGGAAAGCCAAATGCCAAAATGTTACAATACAATGCTTTTGTAGGGAGTGTTTGAGTGGAAGTAGGTTTGGGGCACAGGGTCTCTGGCACATCCACTATAAATAGCAATAAACCATTTGGCCAGGGATAACTTAGTTTATAAAGATACTTCTGAAAAGCCAGTTTCTTACGTTGTTGGAATGTACCAGATCCTCCTCCTACCACCCCAAATGGAAGTATTTATTTTTACAAAATATTCCCACTGCAGATACCTCCCATTCCCACCCCACCTCGTCCAACCTATCCCGCAAGTTACTCAGTTCAAACACAGACATGTATAGAGAGAGAAGAATATAAGAGAGGAAAGTGAAAACATCACAGCCTTGTCCACCCTGCCCACTTCAAAGATGTCAGCAAATAATGATGGCTCCCAGGCTGAAATGTAATCTCTAGCTAAAAATTAGTGACTTAGGTGGAATGGGCTAAGTGGGATGGGCAACAGAAAGTGTTAACCCATCATTGATCCTTTAGCTAAAATATTATTGCTATGTTATCTCTCTGTAAATGTAAAATTAGGAAGGTGGGATAACCTGTTCTGTGAATTTCACTGGGCCCTGCCTGTTTACCATATTAGGAAAATCTTAGGCAACTTACCTCAGATAATATCTAGTGCACATTGAGAAACTACTGCATGAAAAAACTTCGGACTTATTTTCAAATAAAAGGTAATGAGAGAGAAAAATTTCACAGCAATCCCGAGTGTCCTACAGAAGCCCACATTTCAGTCTCTACTCCTGTTACAAACTGTAACAGATTGTAAATCAAGCCATAAATCATCAGTGAAGTAAACATGCTGATGTTATCAGAGCCCTTGAAGATTTAGGACTCAATCCGCAGTGTTAGGTTACAGTATCATGGGTGTATTCAAATCACAGCTGAAAAATGCCCTGGGTTGAACAACGTGCCTTCCAGTATTTGGTATAAAGTGGAAGGGGCATTATGTGCAGTTTGACCATAACTGATGATAACGGACTGTTGAAAATGTTTTCAGTAGCTGAGCATGTTTGACTACAGGTGTGGCAGCTGCTTTCACAACAAAGGTGATCCGCTGAAGACAGCCAGGAGCCAAGAGTAATTTCACAATCTACAAATGTGATAAGTCAGTGAATTTAAATCTTCAGCTCATCCATGCCCTGCCTGCACTACAAAAATAACAACGTCTAAACATGATTATGAATCATAGTTGTGGGCAAGCCAGATACCATACTTTAATTCCTACCTGCATGGACAGAAAAGACCAACATATTCTAACCATGTTTCAGGTATCTACCAAGCTTAAATCCTGCTTCTCCAGGACATAGTTTTATTCTGGAGTGTATGAACAGAAGAAGAAAAAATCATTTGCCCACAGCCACGTTTCAGAATAGTGTTTTAAGCTTTATTTTTGTAGAGTAGCCTAGGCTTTGATGTCAGAAATGAATAGTCTGAGTTCACGTTCATCTCTGGTGGAAAGTACCTCCTCACATGCACCAAGAAAGCCAAAGACAGCAAATCATTCCTGCATTGTAACAGAATTTTTACATTTAAAAATAACCATTTAAAAATCCATACCCATATGCCAAGTGCTGCTGACTTTCGCTCTTATGTTAAATGGCGTCTAATCCTATGCTGCCTCTATCCACCGTTTACCCCCAGCCTCACTGCATTTTAACTGTCACTTAAAAACTAATATATAAACCTCTTCATAATTTAGATTATTTTTTGTGGGGGAGGTTACTTTATAGAATCTCATAAAATTGATCAATCACAATTTATGCCGAAAGCTTGAAAATAATATAGTTATAGTCAATTATTGACACCCTGTCAAATGCATTCTTGAAATATTTAAAATTTTCCAATAAAGTACCATGGTAAATCACTTCAGATTTGTAATTAAAACAAACAAACAAAAACTGGGGGAGCCAGCAGGGTACAAAACTCTATTGAAACATACAACCAGGCTGGCACTCAGAGCAAAGCATGAAAGCTACTACAATAATGTTCAGAAAGACAGTGGAAAAATATGGTTTTAAGCTATTATGTATTCTACTTGGCATACATAATATACAGAATTAAGTATTGTATTTTACAGAATTTTGTAAAGTTTGATTACGCAAAACACTTCCTTAAGAAGTACACCTCTACCCCGATATAATGCTGTCCTCGGGAGCCAAAAAATCTTACCACGTTATAGGTGAAACCGCGTTATATCAAACTTGCTTTGATCTGCTGGAGTGCACAGCCCTGCCCCCCTCCTCCCCCGAGCACTGCTTTACCGCATTATATCTGAATTCGTGTTATAATGGGTCGCGTTATATCGGGGTAGAGGTGTAGTAGTAATTATCACAAGTCACAAATACATTGGAATTTAATATTTTAATACAAATTCATGTATTTATTTCTATCATGACCAATATTTAGATTTATGTTTTTAACTTGAGGATACATGTTGACTTGTTAGGTCACCTGTGGCAAGTCACTTTGTCTCTGTGCCTTAGTGTTGCCTGTTACCCATGCTGGGGAAGCTAAGGTGCAGAGAGGCTAAGTGAACATCTTAGGCAAGACAAGGAACGAGTGATAGATCTGGGATCAGAATGTATGGTTTCTGACCGAATATACTTCATGGGATGTTGTACAAACATTAACTATTTAAGATTTTCAACCCTTTGAAGTCATAAGGAGCTATGTGAATGATAAATATCTTTATTAGAAACCACTTACAAGCCTTTCATGGTTGATCATTGAGGCTTTGTACAGTTTCCATTCACTAGGCCATGTAGCTTCCTCAAGTAGCAGTCAGGGTTTCTGAGTTAGTAACTTCTGTTGTAATCTTTGGCAAACTGTAATTTGTTGTTCTGCCACTCAACCTGTGTGACCTTGGGCATATCATTTAACCTTGCTTTGCTGTACCATAGTCTTTCTATTTTTTGCAATGTGTTTGGAGATCCTCAGACAAAAATTACTATATATGTATAACATATTAATACTTTACAGTTAATAATGGGTGAAATCATTCCTTGAAACAGTTGCTTTAGAGGACAGAAGAACTAGAGGGAGTAGCACACGAATCAATTTATTCCTGCAATTAGTGAAGCCAATATCATAGTTCAAGCATCATAGTAGGGATCCTGATCTTAATTCCAACAGGTCCTAGTTCAGCAAGGTAGTTAAGCAAGTATGTAATTTTAAGCATATAAGTGGTCCCATTGATCTCTGTGGGATTACTTGCATAGCTCCAGTTACACATGCACTTAAGCACATTGCTGAACTGCAGCTTAACAGCACAAATGCAAACAATGATTTGCTAGAGAGAATGCAAGTGTTAACCAGGGAACTGAAGGCTGGGCATTTCTCCATGAGGGTCCCCTCAGCTCTGAAAATTCCTC